GGGGGGACCTTCACTTTTTCTCAGGACTGAGAGATAACTTTTTCAACACGTTACAAAGGACTTTGCTGTTGACACATGAAGTTGTCATAAGAGTGTGAGAAAATTTAGAGTGGTGCAAAACCCTAAAATTGGGAGGAGGTACACACAACTACAAGAGCCAAACTATACTTTGCACTTGAATATTCAGGAATGGATTAATTTCCCAAATTCTAACAAGGGAGTTTGGATCCACATGAGCTTCTAAAAGTTTCCACATTACTGCTTGATGCCTGGTTCTCCCTTGAGGAACTTCAAGAAGATGAGAATATATCCTTATACTGACTGGTGCTATATTTCATCTGCTTTATTAAGCTCTTTACCTCATGTATATTAATGTACAGACTAATATAGATTATAAATCCCGGTGCAATGAACACACTAAAGCAGATGAGTTATAGATACATATATATATATTCATTGGTTTTCTTATAGACAGCCTGTTTTTGTCCACTGGTAGCAGGCTAGTTTCTATTTGTACATAATATTTCTTCCAGCCTGCTGCTGCTGCCTGGCAGTGCCTGCTAGGAGTGGGTGGGCACAGGCTGCAGTGGGAGCTGAGCTGGCTGAGCACTGTGGAAGGGCTGGCAGCCCCTGCTGCCCTGTACGTGCCCAAGAGCCCCCAGCTCACCCCCAGCTGCACAGCAGACATCCTCCTGGTTCTTTGGAGGTTCTGTGGACTTCAGCCACACACACAGCAGCTCTTACTTTTCTTCCTGTAATAGCTCTGGCACTTCAGGATCACATGGCCCATGAGCCACAAATGTTTTTCCAAGGCATCAACCAGACATTTTTGGCCTGCCTCTTATGTTGGATTCCATAACACATGCCTTTGTGCCTGCCTCCCAGCCTCTTACAGTGTTTTCATTTAGTGTGAGCCTGTGTCCTTGCTCTGCACAGGGAGCTGCCAGCATTAAAGTAATTTCCCAAGAAAGCCCAGCAGCCTTGACTACATGAAAGGATGTCTCTGGGCTTAAGTCCATTTCTTTTTATAACCTCTCCAACAACCTGAAATCCAGAGGTCCACAACAAATCATTCCTGTAATCCACAGAAGATTCTTTTCACTTTGTCTTGAACCACTGGAAAAAGATAAACAGCTCCAGAGGGCAATTCATCCCATTTATTTTAGGCACTGGAGAGACCTTTTCCTCCCCTGAGTGGGGAGGAACATCAATGGCTAGCTTGGACCAGCTGTGCTCCTTTTGGCCCCATGAAGGCTGGATGAGAGGCACCCCACCCTAGGCTATGTTTGGCAGCTCCAAGGTTATGAGTGGACAGGGAGTTCTCAGCTCCAAACTATAAGACCTATCCCTTGCTTTGTTTTGCTTTCCCGAGTCTCTTGCTTTGCAGACTATAGGCAGAATAATCATCAAACACTTTCATTGGCTATTCTCATACTTAAAGTATTATGCCTGGCAATGGCATTTCACACGTTTCTTGTCTCCTACAGGCACAATTTTCTTCCTCGGCCACTAGAATTAAAAATAAAAATACAACCTTCATATCTTGATCTACCAAGATCAGCTCTGTGCACAGATCCATTTCTTATTTCCATTTACTCCCACATTTCTTTAAAGGGTTTGTTCAGGAATCAGCAGATCTAATTATTTGGTGCTCTCCAAATTACATTTACTTCTTTGCAGATGCTACTCTGGTCCAACATTATTTATGCTGCTTGTTTAGGTCTGTAGCTGACATCAAGATCACATATGCTTAGTAAAAAAGAAAATAATTGTTAACTAAACTTATGTTTCCTGAAAAGAACTACTTCTTCAGGATCTGCCTCTGTCCTGGATGCTAGCTCATGCCAAGACCATGGGACACCAGTGCCTTCCCCTCTGTAGTGTGCCTTTGAAGCTGTTGCAGATGAATAAGCTCGCTGGCAAATGCTATAAACCCACACAGTCCCAGGAACGAGGTGGCCTTGTCCTCCTTATACCATTAATTTTTTGGAAGAGAAGCATTGTGGTGCAGAGCCCTGAATCTTTGGTGCATGGTGGCATTCCCTGATACTGTATTTCTTTTCAGGTCCAGTTATTAACCCCTACAAGTCCTCAGCCTCAATTTACCTTTAGATTCAAGACATTTTTTCCTCAAAGTGCATTGAGGCTGATGACTCTGAACTTCCCAGGATGGACCTACTTAAAGTACAGTGACAGCTAGGATTTTCTAATATTGGCTGAAGAAAGGAGGAGACAAAAGTTTGGCCTTTGGGAGCCTGAATAAAACAGATCTCCCTGCCTGGGGAGCACATGCTGAATTCATATCTGTCACGAACTGGCCCATCAGGATTCTGTCTCCCTCAGGTATGACAAGGCACAGACACAGGGGAACAATAGAAGTGGCTGAAGGATGGAGCTCCTCTCACAGCCCTGCAGAGCAGGGGTCACTGACCTCCCAGGGGGTGAGCCCCTCTGCAGCAGAGCACTGGAAAACTCACACGTCTCTGGGAAAGAGCCATCTCACACCTCCCTTCTCACCCAAGTCACACAACAGCACTGCTTTGGTTTTGGTTTATTTTTTCTCTTTTCAGTGTAACACTTTCAAAAACAATGTGGACATTGTTACCCTTGTTTGTAACAATACAAATCTATAGAAACTATTGACATTATGTTCAAGTGTACCTGTAAAGCACTGACACTGTTCACTTGAACAAGTCTACCTGTGATGAAAGCCTTCAAATATTACTATACCTGTAGTCAGAGAAGCAAGTATCACTTCATAAAAGATAAACCTTTCTTTCTTTACGTTCCACATGTATTCAAGACACCAACGAGTATGCAACATCAGTTCTCTGTACACCTCATTTTTGTCTCATATTTCCATTTCTTTCTTTTCCTTCTCTGGTTTGGAAGACAATCTGAGGTATCTAAATTCTTACAGCACTGGTACTCCTCATACCAAAACTTCTACTTCTTTTCTGCTACCTAGTGAAATTCAACCCTGCACCTACAGCCGGATGTGTTATCATACTACTCTTGGAGGATACAGATGGATAGGAAGAACAAATCACATTTTGAAAGTTTACACTTACCAGCAAGCCTAATTTGTTCTCTCATTACAGATTAGCAATTGCTTGATAAAAATGAGCATTCCAGATGCACCTAAAATATTTTTCATGTTCCTTTCAGGAATGGTGAGTTCATTTACAGCTTTCTTCTTTCAAATGACAGATATCAAAGTGGATGGACTGGTTTCCACACTTCCAGCCACCTTTTTCCCATCTGCCCATAAATTATATGCATTCCTTATAATCTTTAAGATCCTGCACTTGGAAACAGTAAGTTCTGTGGTCTTTCTTTGGTTGTCATTGACTCAGACTGCCAGAAATCTAATCTCTGTGCTTGTATCTTCACAGCAAAGATTTAGAATATTTAAAGGAAGACTTTTGCTTAAATCTCATAAAACGTGAAGGTTCTTGCTAATAGATTGAAGAGTTTCTAATTAAAGCCACATCCTAATCTTTACAATCTTCCCAGATACTTATTTGGCTAAACTCAGAATCAGCTATCAGTGATGGTGGAAAGGAATTAGATTAGGTTCTCTCCCAGATGGACGTGTGTCATTCATTTCCCTGGCTTGTGGGACCACAGGCAGTTTGAACACTCTTACTTCACAAATTGTTTCTTTGGAGCCAATGTTTCTCCTGATTATTTTTTTTTTCCTATGGAGTTTGAAAAACTTCTGGGTTGATTTGCCCAAACAAAAATCTTTATCTTCATTGTCTGTGAGAGGTGTCAGTTACGAGCCTGTAACAAACTGTCGTTAAGGCTGGATCTCTTCCCCTGCCATACAGATGAAGATAGTACACATTATGCATGATGGAATTATTTCTTGGCTATCATAAGTGTTATTCCTTGGAAGAGGAAGTAATCAAGTGATTCTACTCATTCTGATCCTCAAAGTACAGCATGGTCCCTGATTATTTATTGGAATCCAATTAGATTAACCTAATAGGCAGCATTTTGCATCATAAGTAATAGAATTGCATACTTCAATTTAAAGGACACAAGGTTCCTGAAGCCACACCAGCTTTAGACTGGTGGAGACTCATGATTTATCTATGCCAGACTTTCAAACTCATACCAGAGAGGAGAATCAGGCCAGTCATTACAGAGTTAGAGGCACAGAAGGGCAAGACTGTACATTATTTCTGGTAAACTCTCCAGTCACTTCCAGGAATAAAACTGTATAAGTCAAATGGCTCTCAAAACACTAAAACATTCCTCCAAATTATTTTCTTGGCAAAGATAACTTGTTACAGCTGCCTGTGAATCTCTAGCTATGAGATACTGATACATAAACCAGAACTGAATTCTCCAGTGTACAATTATATGTTATGCTGATGTGGTTATCTCTGGGGGAGGGATATTCTGAGACAGTTCATTTAAGCAAAGAGCAATCCAAACAGTGAAAAAAAAAAAAAATAGATTTTTCTGTGGTTAAATTTGTAGATATACAGTTTCCATGACAACTGTGTTTCCCTCTGGAAAAGGGAAAACAATGGCTCTTTTTAGACTGAAGTAAAATACAATGGGTTTGGATACATAAGAAAGCTGCATTTTCACTCTGGTGTGGAACAGTCCTCCTGTAGCAGGCTTCCTTAGCTTCTGGTTGTGGCTTTTTTCAAACAATAAGACTAATGGAATTACAAAGGGTGAGAGCACCACCCTTTCCCTGCCCTTCCCATATCCACAGCATGTTCCTGGTCATCTATGCCCAAAATTCTACAGATTGCACCATAGCTGCAAACTGACAGAAGCAGTTTTCCTGCACCTAGGCACCATAAAAATGCAAATTTATAACTTCATCAGATTGTAGAAGACTTGGGGAAGAGGCAAATAGCTGTTACACATCCATCTGCTGGGAAAGCACTGTCTGGTCTGAAATGTCTCTGTGTCCCACGTGAAAGACAACCAGGATGATTTCTTGTTCTTCTGGCAGCTGGAGAACAAAGCAGACTTTAAACCTTGGCTATTGTGTATCCTTTATCAGCTCTCTGCTTCCAGCACTTGTGGATGGATATCCCTCCCAGAATCACACAGGCCAATGCGACAGGAATCATTGCAGTGTACCAGGACAAGCCAGCAGCTGAAAAAGTAAAGAAATTAAATATTTCAAAAAAAACCTGCCCAGGAACATAGTTCTCTAAGTTCAAGGAGTACAAGGAGAAACTCCTTGCAATAAAAAGGATGTCTGCAAGTTAACCTCCCAGCAGCTTGAGCACTTGAGAAAGGAAGAGGCCTATTGACTGGGCTCTGGGAAATGAGTTTTTGAAGATGGGAGGAAGAACTGGAAGACAACAGGAGGTGAGCATTTAAAGTTCAGCCCTTTTGCATACACATGACTCTTCCCAGCCCCTGTGGGATGAGTGACTGTGTGCTTTCTATCTTAGTTTGGTGAAAGCAGAGACACTCCAAGAAGGAAATAATAGCACCACATGGAGAGGGAGTATATAACAGCCAGTCCACTCACAAGTGCTATGAATAATTTCCTTATACAGAGCAGTTTATAAATGGCCAATGATCAAGCCAAGACTCTGAGCTTTTCTCCAAAATTTCCAAGACCCAAATTTGTCCAGACCATTTGGGATTATTCCATCCTATCCTGGTTCATGGGCTGCATCCCCTGTAGTAATACCTGTGTGGCTCATGGAAGACAAGGGCAGCACATCATCTAGCAAAGTGAGTACAAATCCTTCATCACTGGACTCTGGAGTGAGTCATGAGTCATAACTCATAATGAAGACTGTAAATGTTCATGTGCCTTTCTAAGACAGTGTGAGCAAGCTTTGGTGATTCATCAACATCATTCAAACAAAAAAGTTAGCATTGCTTCACGTTGGTTTTCCAGCTGGTTCTTGGCCAATGGTCTATCACGCAACATTAATTGCACTGAGCTTAAGGCTTCTCTTCCCATCACCAGAAGCCAAAGAGCAACACCCATCATAATTTACACTTCTTGTTATTTTGGCAGTAGTCTGTGCATGAGAAGAAGGAACACTCTGATCTTTATTCTGCTATTGTCTTTTTTGTTTACACTGCTTGTTGAGGAACTGGAGGAGATCTGGCCCTGCTGCACCCAATGGGAGTTTGCCAGTAGTCTCACTGGAGCAATCACTTCACAAAATGTATCTCAGCTGGAGACCTCTCCAATGAACAGACAAACCAGCACAGATCCTTGTCCCTGCAGAAGATCTCAGTGAATGACCCACAGGATATGTATTTTGTGAACAGCCTACTCCAAAGTCTACAGATGAAAAAGGCAATCCATTTTTCCCCAGGCAGTAATTCATCACAATACTAGCTCTGACAGTGTAAAAGTATTGGGTGATAATTTAGGATTAGAATAATGACAACAATTATCCCAAATAAGCAGTCAAACTAGTTACCTTCCTGCTTGACCCTTGTTGGCAGTACTTGGTAGCCATATCTGTTCTGGGCCCAACATGTAAAGTCTGTGTAAAAATCCTCTTCTTTGACAGAATCAAAAATCAGTGGCACTTCAATGAAGTTTTCACCATTTTCTACAATTTCTCTGGAAGAAAAAGAAAAACGTAGTGCTAAGCCCTTTTGTAAGCTGGCTTTGCTCTGTTTGATGTGTTCATTCTAACAGCACATTGCATGAAAATGCATTGGGAATTTGTTCATTTCTGATCATGCCCTCAGCATTAGGGGACAACTATTTGACTCTCAGCAGTCAGTACCCATCCTGCATTTGCTGAATCTTCCAGGAAAAAAAGATCTGGATTTGTCTTCCAAAAATAAAGAAAGAGGAGGAAAGAAAGGCAAGCAGAATTCCATATATGTTTGAGCTACCTACACAGCATTGTGGAATGGCCTAATCCCTTCTCTCTGACCATCTATTAATTTCTGAGATTAATGCTTACAGTCAGCTGGAAGAGAACATATGGAGAACATAACCCTGCAAATGCTCACTCAGCAAACTGAACCACCATTCCTCTCTATCACACACCCAAAGCCAAGAGCTCAATGCAAGAAAACTGTCTAGGAAATTTCCAGCTTCCTTCAACCTGATTGTTTCATCCATCCAACTATTTAAAAGTGATTTTTTAGCTGCAACCAAACATTGTCTCTTTTTTAGCTGCAGTCAAACATTGTCTCTTGGTATCTCTTAGTCACTGCTGGAGAAGTTGTCCAGCTGCTCTTTGGTGACCTGACGGTGAGCCTGCTATGTGCTGTGGCAGCAGAGTTCCCTGTGCACTCCTCCCAGGACTCTGCAGGAAAGCAGCAGCACGGTGCTGGGTGCTGTGCCAGAGATTTCTGTGGGGAAGTTGTTTTCCCAGTGGCATTGGAACTGCTTTGCCTTGCTGCCGTTCTGAGGGCTTCCAGCAAAAATGGGACGTCTCACAAACCATGGGCTCTGCCTGAGCCCTAGCTGGCATGGTCCCTGTCCTTGTGCAACTGTAAAATAATAAATAACAGCCACAATGGTGGTGATGGTAATAAGAAAAATAGTATTTGAAGAACAAGTAGGGAAGTACATGTGCTGCTCTGTTCTAAAGCCTGCAGAGACTAAAGCCACTGTACATTTTATGGCTCCTGACCACAGTTTTAATGCACTGTCACTTATCCATGTAAACATTATAAATCAATGGTCTCAATCATGCTGTGAGGAATGTGAACACACATCAAATGTGAAAACACATTTGGGCACAGAGTTACATGTTACCTCTGGCTGCAGCTGTGTGAAGTGCTGGGGTTAAACCCCCAGCCCTGAATGAGGCTTGGCATATGGATGATGTCCACAACCAGGCCAGAAGGACTCTCCTGAATGGTTTTACCCAGGGTCTGGCCAACCTTGGGTGGGAACTGGTGAGGAGATCACCACCAGGTGCCCCCACCTTCCACATTAACTTGGGGGTGGGGCAAGAAGCCACCTCTGTAAGAGCTGACTGCTTGCAGTGGGCTAGGGAGGTTTGTTCATGTGGTGCATGTGTGGAGTTTGGTTACTGAAAGGGCTCTCAAACTCTTCATAGCAAGTGGGACTCCCAGGATGGTGAGACAAGATGATGAGACTCTCTCTTGGCAGTGACTTTGGGATTGGACTGATCACCTGGCTCATTCTGTCTACCACACATGGATCTGGAGCCAGCTCTCTCCCTTCTGCACATCCTGTGCTGTGAGTGAATGTAATGACTTATTCCTCCCTCCAGTGGTCTGGCACCTTGGATCTCTGGTGTATGATTTAAGAGCAGAGGGAGGACTTTGGCTGCTGGTTTGTCTGTTGAAGATAGTAACCTTCTTAGTTGGGCAAGCAGTCAGCAGAAGACCATGTAATAAACTAAGTGTGGCTGGGTTGTTATCTGGCACTGTTGGCCACAAGTGGCCCAAACCAAGTCACACTGATAATGTTAAACAAAATGTCCCACAAAACAGGGATGCCACATCCTCAAACTCAGTTGGGAATTGTCTGTGCTAAATCTTAATTGATAGCCAGGAACTCTTTGGCAAGGTGCTAGCTGGTGAGTGACAAATTTAACCATTAACAGCAGAGGCAATGGCATTCCAGGGCTTGGCTCTTCTTGGCTCTGTCCACCAGTACAGGCTGAGCCACTGTGACCCAGGTGAGGGTGGTGACCTTTGTGGACACTCTCAGCTTCTTCAAATGAGGGCCAAAACATGCTGACTTGGACCTCAGTGAAGAGATTTCAATGGGTAGGTTTACCTCACGTTTGCAAAGCACTAGAAGCATGGCTGCACGTAGTGAGTTAGTGTGCTCAGGTGGCATGTCATAGGTACAGACAACAGACCTTTCCTCTCCTTCCCTAGTGAGGAAAAGCCTTGAGGCATGCAGCTATGAGGGAGATGAGAGAAGGCCCTGAAAGACTGTGAGAGACAATGGATCAGGGCAAGAGGATGTGGGACATCCTGCATCTCCTCCCACCAGCATCCCCCCCAGTGCTTCCCTGGCGCCAGCTCTTGCATTCACTGGGTGTCTCCCTGAGTCAGTTCAACTCACTAATGTGGAAAAGAACAAGCCTAAGGGGAGCAACAATGACACTAAAACCAACCAAACAAAAAAAATTTCTGCATAGTTTTCTGTTGCCTTACTGTGTTCAGAGAACCTCACAAATATCAGGGGAGGATGTTGCTGATTTGCTGGCATGGGGCAAGGAGGGAGACAGGATAATTTCTGGGAAGGATCAAGTCCCGTTGCTTTCCACAGCAATCAGCTCTTACATCAGCTCAGCTGCCTATGGAAACATGCTTCAAGTTTAAACCTCAAAGTTGGCTCATTTGCAGTATGCCATGAATAAAAATCAGAGATGAAGAACTTATTTCAGCCTGCTGGGGTTGGTTTTGGGGTTTTTTTGCTTGCCTGCCTGGGTTTTTTTCTCAGCTTTTACCTTCATTTCAGGTCTGTCCATATCCCATCAGCTACTGAGAGCCCCTGTGACATTGCAGGTGAAAACAACAAGCAGAAGGAAACCCTTCCAGCCAGACTTACCGTCGTTCTCCCTCTCTAACTCTGTTTTGCTTGTAGACCACGTCAGTGGTGGTGCCATTTGCCAGCCATTCCACGTCAGTGTCGAGCTGGCTGCTGGGTCCAACAAACACCTTGCATGGGAGAGTCATCTTGGAGCCTGTTGATAAAAGAAAGATTAAAAAACCTTTTGGATATGTGTGAAGAACTACATTTCCTCATGGTGAAAGCCAGCACCTCCAGAATCAAATCCCCAAACACATCAAGCACCACTACATTCAAAACTGAAGCTAAGCTTCACGTTGCTTTTGATCCACTGCTCCTTGGCAGCAAGATCCTTCAGTTTGACACTCCTTACTAACCAAATTACTTTCCTGCTGCAACTCTTGCACTAGGCACATTCCTCAGGAGCTATGTTCCTGTGGCTTTGCTCCTGACATACTGCAGCCCAAAGGTCACTGTGTGATTTACAGCTCTGGAGCAATTCTTTTAACCAGCAGTGTAGCTTCACTCAGAAATGCTGTGTGCAGGGGCATTCAGCTCAAGGTGGGACCTCCAGAAATAAAATGATCATGGAAAAATTCAGAAATTTTATTATAATTATTGTAACTCACAGCTAAGGGTAAGGAACCTTCAGACTAGTGTGTATCTATATTACATGGAAAACTCAGGCCTCAATAATGCATACAGTTTTAGTATTACATCTATGCATATGGTGATAAAGGGGATATAAAACACTCCATAGAGCTAGGGAGGCAAAAAAATTACTTGGTAGTCCTGTGCTGATGGGAGGAAAAGTGGCAGGGAAAACTAAGACATCAGAAGTCACAGCTGTGTATATAGTACCCAAGTTTAAAAAGTTTAGTGTAAAACACACCTGTCATTTTCTGAGGAGAGAAAATGCAACAGAAATTTGTTGACATAATATAATCTTCAAAGAAAAATTGAGATCCTATCAAGATACTTTCTAACTAACAACTGTCTAGTTCAAACAGTAAACAGCAATGAAAAAAAAAATCTCATCCTAAAAAAGCTAGATGGCTCATTCAAAGCCACCAGATAACCTAGTCCAGTTTGAGGCAATATTGAAAATTAATAGTTCTTAGTGAAGGGTGCAAAGATGCTTTTCTTGCTTTGTTAGTGGCTAAAATCTGCAGCAATTCTACAGCTTCTCGTATATGGAAGTATCTAGCTGTAGACAATAAGATGCAAAAACTACTCCAGCACCAACCCTCAGTGAATATAAGCAAGATCAAAAGAGCTACAATTTTTGCCAATAAATTAGACCATAAGAGGACCTGCTCTAATTTTTGCTTTATTAGATGTTTTAAAAAATAATGTTGGGCCTTACCGAGAGAAGCTGATGTCGTCTTTTGTGTTGGATATACAATTATTGGGGTAATTCTCTTTTCTTGTTCTGGAGAGAGAAAGGGAACAAAGAGTCAGTGCTAGCACAACAGAAAACTTGGGCATTGTCTCAAAACTCCCCTCATCCTGAGCAAGTATTAAATGTTCTGTTTCCTAAGACCACTGAAGTCATTTGCAGTGACAGTGTGTCATGTGTCGTCCTCCCAGATATAAATTATTTGATTTAACAACCCCAAGTGCTTGCAACGTCGAGTTCTGCCTCCCACAGACCTGCTGCAAGTCAAGCAAAGGGGTGACCCCAGCTCTGGGGGTGCTGTGGGAAACTCATCAGTGCCAAAGCAAGCACCCTGGGTGTCCCGCTTCCCTTGGCAGGGCTGAGAGGCCCCGGATGAGTTCCTCTCCTGAGCCCCCTTAATAAAGAAGAGATTATTCCCTAAATAGAGATTTTCTTAAGAGCTGGAATGTTTTAAGGTGTCGATATTTACCAACAGTCACCAGCTGAATTGTTCTGGTGATTTCATACGTTACACCTTCAAAGGGAAATGGCATCTTGCAGGTGTAATAGCCAGCATCTGTTGGTAGCACAGAAGTCATGATCAGAGAATTTGAACCTTTCAGAATTACGAGTTTCTCGTTGTCAGCTTCCAAAGGCAGAGCATCCTGGGGAAAGGACAACAATTGGTGTTATGTCTCAGAGAGGTGTGGTTACACCCCACGTGACTTCCAGACAAAATTACTTATCCCTGTCTTTCTGTTGCTAAAAGTTCACTTATCACTGGGAAATCTGAGCAGTTCCACTTTACCAGCACGGGCCAAGTTCTTCAAATGTGCCTGGCTCTGAAATGCTCTGAGGCACTATATGAAGTGTGAAGAATCACTGTTTTAATGTCTCTATAACATGTGTGCATAACTTTTCAATAAAGCACACATTTTAAGATGGAAAAGATATAATAGGCTCTTTATTGAGTCCTCTTAAGCGTCATCACCTAAGACATTCTTCTAAGACAAAACCGTTTTATTAACCATAGATGTTTTCACAACACTGTTACTTTCCACACATGACTTCTTAAGAGTGATATTCTAAGGCATTCATTGAAGAGACATACCAGTAATCATGCAGGTTTTCACAAGACTATTGCTTACCCTACATGATCTCATAAACGGTGATAAATCCCTGCTCTTCACCCCTAAGGCTCTGTTCATACACGGGTTGGAGCCCTGCTAGGAGTAATGATGATCTTTCTCCATGAAGGCACAATAATAGCTCTTCCTGTCAGTTATAGCCAGAGCTGTATTTTCTACAACCTCAAGAAGTAGCTTCAAGAAGTAGGTGGGTTATAGCCTGCTTCTGAAGGGAAACCTGAGTAGAGACATTTTGCTGATATGGCACTAATCACAACGTAGGCACTCCTGTATGAAGCCAGCCTAGCTATTGCATCACGGGGTGGTACGTTAGGCAAGAGACCACAATCAGCTTTGTGTGATGGATTTATTACCTCCAAATGCTGTATTACATTTGACTAATGAAGCTTCCCCTTCTGAACAGCTCACACAGGGGAAGCATCACTTCTTTAAAGTGACTTTAAAGGTCCTTCTTTATGGAAATCACTAGAGGGGCCATCAAAAGAAGCATAGCACCAAAGAGAAGGGCCTCATCTGAAGTAGTAAACCCTGGAGTTAGGGTAGGTAACCCAGCCTTAAAAGGTTACAATGCCTGTGAGAGCACAGAATATGTGAAACACTTCACTCTGTGCAGAGTCCACCCCTGAGAACTTTTCTTAAAATATATACACGTGTCCCAAAATTCCCAGTATATTATCCTGCAGTTGTGACTAACAGCATGATGTTCAGGAGAAACAGAAAGGGCAGATCTATGTGCCTTTACAGACAGGTCTGGATCAGGCTTTGCACAAAGAGGACAGGAAAGTTCTACCTTGTACCACTTGAGCTCCAGGCTTGTCCCATTTGGCGTAAAATCCCACAGGTCAGGGCAAACAATCTTTCCAGAGGTGAAAGTGAAGAGGATCTGGGGATAGGCAATCTCCTGAGCAGCTGTCTTCTCCACAACTGTGAGGTGGATGGAGACTTCAGCACAGTAGGAAGAGTTCCTACAGACAGAGCAGGGAGAGGTGAGCACTTAACAGTGATGAGGTGAACTCGAGTGATGCTCTTGATTTCCTCCTGTCTCTGTTTCCTTCCTTAGGGTTTTCTAGGAGACTGAGATCATACCAGGAGGGATGGTGGAAAATCACTGGTACTATTTTTTTTTGGGCACAATCTAAACATGTTGTTGGCACATGTCTGCCTTGGAGATTCTTTTTGGTACAGCAAGTTTGCCACACACCCTTAGGCTACAGCATGATTTTAATTTTGCAAGGAGGAGGAACATGTTCACCTGAACAGTAGCAGGTGTGTCATGAACTCTCCACCGTTCCCTTGAAAGAGGTCTCGACTGTGAAAACCCTCATGACTGATGCCTAGGGATCAAATAAAAAGCTTAAAGTGTGTATTAAAATACAGCTGTAGTCACTATTGCACAACCAGTAGACACTGCTGTGTGCATGTATATTGTGCAGAGAAAAGGAGGCATTCCACCTTCCAGTTTTGAAAGTTTTGCCATCTTTAGCTTTTCTTTCTGACCTCAAGTAACAACTGCTTCCAGTCTGAAGCAGAACAAATGGAGGTGCTAGAACTATGTCCTCTACAACCTCTGAAAGCCTGCCTTGGAGATGCCTCCACACAGGGCAGTGCCTGACCCCTGTGGAGGACAGTAAAGACAGGGGCTCCAGGCTGTGACCTCCTGGAGAGCAGCTCAGGGCTGCAAGGAGACTGGCATTGTGACTGGCTGTCACCTACAGGTCAGAGCCTGAATCCAAAATACTTGCTCAGCAGAAGCAGAGATCTGAGATAATTTGCTTCTACCCTCATTTCATAGATTGAAGAAAAAAATCTGGTGGCTTTCCTGTGGGATGATTTGCAAAAGAAATACAATTTGTTTGTATTTTACCAATCACAGAGTGGTTTGTGTTGGAAGGGAGATTACAGAGATCAGCTAGTTCTGTCTGCTGTGGGCAGGGACACCTCCCACCACACCAGGCTGCACAGAGCCCGTGTGCCTTTAGCTGTCAATAACACTGCCACAGTGTCATAGGTTTTGGCACTGAGGCAGGGTAGTCCAAGAAGGGGATTAAAACACACCCTTCAACGTCTCAGGCAACTAGTAGGACAATATTTGCAACCTTTTGTTATGCTGGCCTCACTACCAAAGTCTTCTCTTCTGCCCCACCACTGCAGTCACTGCTAAGACATGCAGATAGACCAACTCAATATGCTCAGCGTGATTTATTAACTTGAGTTCTGCCTGTCCATCTCTTCTACTGCTATGTGTCACTCACAAGGTGTGTCTTGCCAGCAAGGAAAATATGCTCTGCAGAGGCAGCCCCAAGGATGTATAGATATGTTTTCCACTATAGACCCCGGAGCAAGTTGCCAGCTGCCAGGGGTGTGCTGGGCTGACTGAAAGGAGGAGCTGGCACGGGGCAAGGACCCAGGATACCTTCTGGAGTTCAGGCTTTAATGATGATGGGTGGTTTTTTCCTTCCTCAGTCCCTCACAAATCCAGACCCTGACACCTCTTTTGAAATTGCACAGTGGGCTGTTAGATACTCAGAAAAAGATGCCCAAGTCTCGACCCACCGCAGTGGTACGAGTCTGGTCCCAGCCTAGTAAATACACATCAGGTCTCATGATAGATTTTCCAGCAAAACCAAGGCAACCACAATCCAAGGATAAGGAAGAGGGAAGAAGGAAGCCACTCCAGAGCCTTGTTATATGCTTCATAAGGCAATGTGAAGAGCAAACAAGGCTATTTGCTTCCCTGGAGGTGTGACAGGAGGGTTGTGTTCCACAGAACCACCAGCCTGCAGTGTGTCCCCACTCACCACAGAGCTGACTGGCTCAGAAATAAACCAGAACGAACCCTCACATACACTATTTCCTCATGAGATTCTAGCCCAAGGAGCAATACTGGGCTAGAAATCTCATGATTTCTCCAGATTTCACTATATGTATCTATAGGAGACACACATCGCATTTAGGAGTTCTGACTTTCCACATTTTTTCTCTGATAAAGTTGTCACAGAAATTATCTTATCCAGGCATGCTCTGAACCCAGCTGGAGTTTATCATTAAGCTAGTATATTTTAGATACAGTCATCTTGTTAGTGCACTGAAATTTCTTTTGTATACCCACCTTCTGGTGCAGATATATACTCCTGAGTCTTCTAGCATTGCTGGTAAAAACCAGAGTGCATCTCCTTTTGCCCAGATTCTTGGATCTTCATCACTTCCCGATATCATGGTTTTTGAACCATTTTTATACCATGTGATATTAGTGGTCAAGGCAGAAAAATCCAAATGTTTGTATCTGGGGGAAGGGCATTTCAGAACCACAGGTTCTCCATGCAGTTCATAGTAGTGTTTGAAAAACACGGTGTGATCTGGGCAGTTTTCTATATAAATCAGAGATATTTTTACATTACCGTCAGTGAGGCACATTAAAAAGAAGGGAGAGGGAGACAGAAGATTGAAAAAAAAAAAAAAAAAGCATGCCCTTACCTGTGGTTTTGACTTGCTGAAGTCTGAAAGCAGAAGCACATGCCGTGCACATCACCAGGACAAAGAAGAGCCCACACATCTTTTCCCAGAGGGAACTGGAAGGAGATTGAGAGAAAGTGTCTTGAAATCTACAGGGAAGGTTATTACAAGACAGAAGATATAATGAAAATTCTCATTGTTAACTTCAGAGTTAACTACTCTTTTCCTCACTCCAGACCTGGTGAGCTTTGCTTCACCCTTAGTGAGCAGAAAGATGACTTCTTCCCTAATTTATAGGGACTGACTTGTGGAACAGAGCTCCCGGCTTGGTACAAACACATCACTTCTGTCCCCTTCCTTTCACTCCAGAGATGCAAACAATGTACCACAAGATGCTGCTGTCCTCACAGCTTTTCAGTGCAAGAGCCGCCGATGGGAACATCTAGCTTTGCTTATTTTGCAATAAGATGTGACTGAGGCATGGGTCAGCTGCCCCCAGTTAGCTCTGGTGTAGCAACTTGCATGACCACAAGAGCAAAGATGCAGCAGAATAGACTTAGTAGCTGTCTTAAGCTGTCACTTCAGGTGTCTCCCAAGGTTGTATGGACCTCATTAAATCCTGCATCACTATATCTTCCCCACTGCAGCTCCCCAAGTGGACCAGCTAGCACAGATCAGGCTGTGGGCAAGCCTCCTACTACAACCAGAGCCAAGCTTTCTCACTCTCCAACAATGTTTCTCTTGGTATAAAAGCTTTGATTCCTGTGGCATGAACACCCATATTGCTGTTGGTGTGCAAGTGAGTTTTCAGCGTGGACACTATTGCCACCTGTGCTGAAAAAAGATGAGGAAAACTCTAAACAGCTCACCCTAAAATCAGATACAGTAACATCAAGGAGAAACAAAACTATCAGTTGCCAGTCATTCATCAGTTGTCATCTAAATTGGCCTGGCAAGGGCAAAGCAGCTTCTGTGTCTGTGTCCATCACTCAGTGCCTTCTGGTCTGCCGCGAGCTTTCATCTGCTGCTACTCCGTTGATTATGTTATCTCAGTGTATCACAGGAAAAAAATCCATAAAACCTGCTACATATAGGTACCAGTTTATGCTCTGTGTAAGGCATTTATGTACAATACAGAACACATATGCACATGATACACACCATTTCTGTTTTATTTCTGTTTTACAGAAATGTAAATTGCATATGTTTAATATTATCCCAACACTGTGATTGCCCCATAGGGTGAGGATTAAATGACTGCATAGCTACTTCAAATTGTATCCAAAAGCAAAAACATACTCCTACCAATGTAAGACAGTCATATTGATAGGTACTTACCTTTAGGCACCTCCTGTGTATCCCACCATGCTCATATTCGTTGTACGGTTTTAATCCAAGTTTCTCCCTGTTCTAGTATTTATATACATATGATACTTTGACTACAATAAACTATTTCCTGCTTATTGTCATCTCTACCACAACAAAAGCCAGCCTCTTGCTCAATAATACTGTTTCATAATCACAGGTTGTCTCCACTGGCACTAGATCTGCTAGATCCAGGACATTGGCAGAGAGCTGTAGCTCCTCTCAGCTACACCTGGACTAGGTGCTAGTGGCTTTGTCTGTGGTGTTAACAGCCCTCATGGGTCACATGTAATAACACCCTGTAACAGGGGAGTTTCTCTCTCCTTAGACCCTCTGCCTGATGAAAATACTTGGTTATTTTGTTCAGAGCTTTCTGGTCCCTTTAGCTTAGGATCAAGCAACCTCCACAAGTCTCACACAAACAGATGGTTTAGGGGAGATATTCATTCCCAAATTTCCATCACATTCACTTACCTGTGCTTCTGCACTCTTTCAGCCATTAGCTTCTCAGTGAAAGATACAAATGAAAATTGCCAGTGAGGACCTTATATAGGGTGCAGCTCAACACACAGTGGAAATTTGTGTCTCATTGCACAATCAGACTTGTGTCAGAACCAAATGACATTTTAGACCCACCTTTCTTTCCTTCCGTAGACTGAGGATGAGAGAAACAGAGAGAGAGAGAGAAAAAAATTTGTGTTTGGATTTCCCAAAAAAAGGGGAAGTGACTGCTAAATATATGACTAAATTTCCCTTTTTCTGACGAACAGTAGTTTGCAGACACTCATGTCTTCACATGACTGTTTCACGCTCTACTTCAAATAAAAAATTCTCATGGCTAACAAAAGGTGTCCTGCAGCATAGTCAGCAGATAAATAATTGCAATCTTCACATATTGTGGTTTAGCAGATTCTTAATGGACAACGTAAATCTTCCATGATTTCCCAGATCACCAGTGAATCGCAAGTGGGTTGATTCCCCTTTCCTTCTGTAACACCCATCCCAGTGTTACAGCTTACCTTAAGGCTCTATTTGCAATGGAGTATGAAGAATTAACAGACATAAGCACATTATAGCATCCGGGCTCATGAGCAAGAGATAAGAAATAGGTTATGAATTGCAGCAATGTTGGCCTTCACCTGTTTAGAAGAGGGCAGTCTAGCAGAGGACTTCAGTCTGGAACTGGACCACAAGCCATTTTTTTCCTATGTCTTGTCCTGACATGTGATGTCTCCTGCAGGCAGCCATGCATTTCTTCCAGCAGGAAAGTCCCTTTGTGATCCTTGAGGCAGCAGCCATCGAGCACTGCCTCATTGCCAGCCCAGGAAGGCAGCGCATGGTGTCCACTTAACTTGCCAAACCTAGAGCCAAGCACATGGGTCCCTTTGAGCAGACCTCAACAATATACCCTCCCCGCCCTGCACTTCATAAACATCATCTGAGCAGACCTAAATCTGGAGCACTGAGGTCACAGCCTAAGGCTCAGACTTTGTGATGCTCTCATTAACCAAATAACGACTAGTAAAACCAACATAGCTGTTTATCACACTAAGCCTGTAAGAACCATTTTTTATTTAACCCTGACATAATTCATGAACTCTTTCTTTAATTAATATCAGCCTCAGTTATAGTGGAGACCTCAGAATATTATTTAAGAGATTAAAAATTATCGGCTTTTGAGACCATGCTGCCACCTACTATGGAGAGAGGAAATGTACTGATGATGACATCTGTTAGTACACTGCAATCTTTGGGATGGGTCATATACTTGGACCTTATTTTATGCAGGCAATATCCATCACATTACAGCAACTTCAGTAAATAAAGAGAACAAAAATCAGGAAGCCCCATATTTCAATCTGTCATGCTCTTTACAATTTCTGTATCCTGATCAACATAGTCGTTGCAAGGGGGTCTACAGTTATCATCCCTCACGCATGGCCACCTGGTTTTCCCCAAGCAATCCTGTTATACATGAACCTGAAAGGCTGACAATGCAGCTCAAATTAGTTACTGTTCTGTGGTACCCCATTCCCTCAGTGAAAAGAAAGAGCTCATCTCTATTGGGCTCCCACATTTGGGCTATGAAACTACTGCTCTTTCTTTCTGGACCCCCTGCACTTCACTCTGAAAATGTGACCTTTTAATTATAAAATTATTTCAGTCCTTCCTTTTCCAGTTCACTGTATGGCAACCAGACAGAAGGGCTGTCAAATCAGGTGACCTGTGTTATATTAAGTCTAAGGTCAGGGTATTACTATAGGAGCAACTTATGCAATAGAGGTGGGAGCCTCTAATGGTAACCCTGGTCACAACCACCAGACAAGTTCCCAGCAAATAACCCAGACATTTACCAAGCTCAAAAAGAGTAAAACTGTAGGAAATGAGACACTGTCTTTGGAAAGATTGTACCTACCAGCCATTGCAAACACATTCATTGCATTCACCAAGTAACAGCAAACTGTTCAATGAGCAGCAGAACTACCATCGCTTCCCTTCTGGAAATTTGTGCCCCATGCCCTTAGCACACAGCCACACACCCTTCCACTGCAGCCACTTCAGCTCATGGCCTTTCTCCACCACACTCCAGCCCTTTCCTTTCTCCCACTTCATGTCCTCTCTTCCCTCCTCCCCCACAACAAATTTGTCTACACCAGGTGCAAGCACATCCTTGGGCTCTCTCACAACTACGTTAGTGCTGAATGGTCAACTTCTCATTGCCCAGCAGCACATGCAAGGAGTAGGCTCTGCCAGACTTTCTCTCAGTGGAGCCAGGGGTTTCCCATCTGCACACACCTGCACTGACCAATTCTCCTCATGCTGATACAAGTCTAGTGTGAAAACACAGCCCCTTGGAAAATACAGCCAAAGCAGGCTAAAGGGTTCAAGGTGAGTTTACAGTGCAATAACATATGCTGACCTGCCTTAGAAAACCAAGCCAAAACCACATATCTACAGAGTAGCAGTGCAGTTCCCAGGTAGCATGGTGTCCTCAGACAGACCCAACAAGGACATATGCTATTAATCGACTTTCTCCTGAAGAGGTCTGTTCTGGCTGTCTTTTTGTCCAGCAAATGTTCTGATCACATGCACCAGTACCAGGACTTTAAGCTAAAATAGTGCATCTGGAGGTGCAAAATCTGGTTTAAAATAACTCAGGAAGAAAGGAAAGAACAAGTATTTTTCAGGGGCTGTGTGCTGAGAAGGCCATGTCACTTTGCGGTCAGTTATCACTGAGTACTTATAAACAGAAATATGCAAGTCTAGCAGCTACATATAGAGTGAGACTCTTCTAGGGAAGCTGGTGTCATTCTGTGGTTTTGCTGTGATGATGATTCATTTATAAAGCTCAGAATGCTGGAGCATATCTGTGAAATTCCCAATTTAGAGACCAGGCTATTCCCCATATGTCTCACTCATTGCTCATCTCACTAGATTGCTATTTCCTGCAACAGGGCTACATGCAGATGCCTTTTGGGTGGATTTTTGCCATTTGGGTGGGTTTTGCTCTCCTAGGACATCATAGAATCACAGAATCCTTTAGTC